TTCGGCCGACCCGAAGTGCAGAAGGAGTTCGACTCAGCCGATCCAACATCTGGTTTATTATTAGCTATTGCAAAATTGAAATGCCAATAGTAATGTCCCAATGCTTTTCAATGGGAAAAATCTTTTTTTTTTCTATTCTGACATGCTCGTGTCAGAATAAAGAAAAAAAGACACAGCACTGTTTCTCTCCTTGGCGGCCAGTAGCAGGACGCCAGGGAGAGTTTGCTGTTTGGAGATCAGTGTCCCTGGTTTGCAGTTAACCAGGGACGTTTATCTCTCTGAAAGTGGCCGGAGCCAGCCGTGAGATCACGGCTGGCTCCGCCCAGCTGTCAGAAGCAGGCCGCTCGGCCAGCTTCGGCTTTCAGCACGGCTAAGCTGAGCCGATGCATATGCGTTCGGCTCGGCTGAGCCGCTCGGCCATGATCGGGAGCTGTGCGGGCTATTGTGAATAGCCCGTACAGCACCCCTTCGGTTCTACTGAACCGAAGCTACTGCCAGATCCTTCGGCAGCTTCGTGAATAGACCCCATAGTTAGTTAGGTTGAAAAAAGACACATGTCCATCGAGTTCAACCTACATTAGTCCAGATTTCTATTTGCATTCCTTTATAATTCAGTGATATTGATCTCTGACATTGCTGTTGTTTTTGTCTGCAGTACCACTCAACATTCGCCCCAGGCCTATCACTGGCAATAAGAAGAGTGAACACTGTCTTTATTAATCGTATTGAATTAATGTATTATGACACTATCATTGAACTACCGCATTCACTAAAGACATGCCTGTTTTAACCACCCTTTACTTCAGGGGTTATTGCTGTTTTTAATTAATAAAACCCATTTATCACTATTGGTGTGTCAGGTCCAGTTACAGAGCAGTGCCATAACTGCAAATGGTAGGAGAACCCATCATTTACCAACAGCTCCTGTGGGGTAGTGCTACAGATTAAAATTAAATAAATTCTTCAATATTTCCAATTTGTGTGACTTGACACCACATGGGACCATGCACCCAAGAGAATTCCCCCCACCTGAAGATATGATCTCCAGGTTAAAGGTAGGTAATACTACATCAGATAAACAACCCCTTCAGGATACCATATCAGGTTAAAATGGGGATTCACAAATGTAAAAATTGTGCAGCTCTCTTGCATCCTCCCTAGAAGTATATTTCTTAAAACAAAGCAGAAGCCCCATATGTGATTCTGTGTTTTTTTTAATTGATAAAACAATGTAGCTAAAAGCAAACTCCCATCCCCAGAGTGCAAAGGCTGCACAATATATGTGTATATGGTTGTAATGTCACAATCTGGCAATCACAGCAAATTCCTCATCTTCAATAAGCACACCACCACCATATGAACCCATGTATTTATAAACCTTATTTAATTAAGATAGACTGTCTTGTGCTACTCGAGTGGACAAAAGTCAGTAAACCTGACAAATAACAGCTATACAACCATCAGCAAAAACTGGACCATAATCCTTGTTAATGGTGTACTCCTATGAGATGATTAACAAAATAACCAGTATTAGTTTTATTTCTGCTTAAAAGGAGAATTACAACAGCGAGGCCACAAAGTTAAACATCGAAAGCACAGTTTTAATTATCGTCCTTGAAATAATTGAAAACATAATAACTGCAGTGACTCATAGACTATACAAACATTTTAAAGAAAACAATTAAAGGACAACTATAGAAAAACATACCGTGTTCTGGTAATTACATGTGGTACCTATAATGATAGTAGTCAGTATATGTAATAGTTTTTTAATTTAGCACACCCTTATTGATGTTTTTCTTCACATCTATATGCAGATTAAACTGTGGTTCAGACATACCATATCACATCTATAATTAGCTTTGATTTATATGGTGTAATGCTTTTTTCCCCAAAATAAACTGTTCTAACTGCCTAAAAATTTGAACATGGGCTTTAATTTGCTTACCATTTTAAACTACATATCCATCTAAGGTTACTAGGTGACAATGTGCTGTGCAATTTCAGTGAAGAATGAGCATTGTTGTTACCTTGTTAAAGGATGTGGGAATATTACAGAGAAAGGTTCTATCGCCCCCTGTCCAGGAGACACTACATCAGTTTCTAACAATGTAACAAATTTTACAAAATTACTAACCGCAATCTTGAACGGC